ATTTGTTTGTTTATAAGTAACTTTAGTTGAAGTAAACCATTTTTCATAATCATGATGGATACAGAACGTTTGATAAGGGGATTCAATAGTGAGTTGGGAACCACAACAATGGGCAATACATTAAATCCTTTGGCTGCTAATTAAAGTAGAGATTCAAAACTTATAAGTATTTATACATAAATAAAAATGTAACTACGTTTTATTGAGTGCACATCAAAACTTTGCATAGTTCTTATCATTATTCCTATACTTGGCTGTGTGGTAAATATTTTTGTGTGTTCTTTGTTTTTGTTGCAAGGGTAGCAGACAACAGCTCTTGGATCTAGAATAAGACAGGCTTTTGTCTAGCTCAATCCATCCAAATTCTTATTCTCAATTTTGAATATCTAACATTTTCATTTTCTCTTTTCTTATATTAAAAAAAAATTGAGACTATTAAATGACATAACTTAATCTAGAATTCTGGGTTGTTTCTTTGATATAAAGCAACTAAATGAGTTGTTTTTTAATATCCTTTTGTGTGATAAAGAAGCAATTTGAGTTTCTACAATATATATATATATATATATATATATATATATATATATATATATATATCACGACTCAAATTGTCGTGATTGACACCCAGACTAATCCTCCGGTGGGAGAACCATTACTACAACCCAAGCTAAACAATTTAACCAAAAACTAAGGCATTTAAAGATACCGAAGCAGGTTTAAATGTCTAGGACAAGAAAAATAGGGAGTTCCCATAAATTCCAATAAAAGTCTAACAAAACATATGCGGAATAATACCTAGAACCTGAAAGTCAATGTACCAAAACTCCAACAAGAACCATAAGTCTAAACAAGAAGGGGTACAACCCCAAACTAACACAAGGAATCTAAAGCACTAGTCTAAGTCCGAAAAAGTGGACATAAACAGAAAGAGAACTCATGGTAGCCCGGAAGAACTGGCTCACCCTTGAATTCGATTGATCACTGATCTTCTAAGCGAGATATGTCAGTAGCCGCCTGAAGATGCCCTGTACTCAACAAAGAAAGAGCAAGTGCAGTATCAGTACACAACCACAGTGTACTGGTAGGATCACGCGGCTATCCCATTAAGTGAAACACATGCAAATAACCACAACATTATGAAACAGACATATACCGAACATATACAATATTAGTCATCATCTCAAGAAAACATGTCAATTCCACATTCTCAAGAGTACACAAATATGTCAAGTCAATGGTCCTCTCATAGAACCCAAACTCAAATTGTTAGTGTACCAGTACGTGGTACCCGATCCAAGTTAGTGTGCCGGATGTGACACCCGATCCCCGATATGCACCGGAACGTGGCACCCGATCTAAGTTAGTGTGTTGGAACGTAACACCTGATCCATTCAACATACCACAATCACAATCACACATCACAATCACAATGTACATTCTCATAATCATACCATCAAGAGGTGATTCATGGCATATAGTTATTCGTTCATACTCATTTACATATGGTGTGATCAATAATGCAACATTCGCATACATACATGCAATACAATAAAGCAATTACAAATATATATCGCACAATCATGAAATCACAACCATGACCTACCTCGAACAAAGCTTGAATCCCCTAAGAAACTTGATTCTTCCCTTTCCGGATTCTTTCCGCTTGTTCTTGGTCTACAAATAATCATAATAAAGCGAGAATCAATAAACAAGACCTAATTACCCGGATTATAGTCAATAATATCAACCTAGGTCTGATCCCCATACCCAAATTAGAGTTTTTTCCACCATAATTAATTCTCAGGTCAAAACCCTCCTCCATCGATAATTCCCAATGAACTAAGTTCTACGGATCGAAACATGGATTCGGGGAGTGAAAACCTTACCTTTAGCCTCAAGAATGGTGGAAAACTGTCAAGAAAGCACCTGGGGTCGTCTCCTAGCTCTCAAAGTCGAAACTTGCAGAATAAAACGATTTATTTCCGACTTAATTCACGACTGACCTGCCACAACGGTCCTCACCCCGCCACAGCGGCCCCGCCCTGGCGGGAATAATTCCGCCACAGCGGGTTGCACGGAAACAGTGAGTTGATTTAAGAGTTTCAAACCCCCATTTCACAACACACCTTCATCCTACGACACTCAGAAAAACCCGTTCACACTAAAATCAGTTTCTGGAGTTCTACCCACCAGAATTCAATTCTGTAAAGTCGTACGGGTTCCTTAACGTCTTAGCTATCTCCTCATACGATCAAATTCATAATTAGATCCCCCAATTGTTACCAGATTTCCCTAGATCTCACTGACTCCGATTTCGTCCAAATTTGAACTAAGTTGAAAAATTTCAAGATAGTACGAAAAAGTTTTAATTTTTCCCCGTTAGCTTTTCTATAACTACGGAAACATGTCGTTATAGAATAATAATTATATATAGAGCTTGTTCAAAATTTCCATATATGGCAAAGTGTTGGTAAGAGTCAAATATCCTAATTAAGGAGAACAAACTTTGACAATTGAGTCATACTTCTACAATCATCACCGTCATGTCAATTAGCATATTATTTTTCGCATATCTTGATTACTTTTGAGATATATAGAGAAAAAAAATCTTCTCTTAATTAAAATTATTTGAATGACTAAACTGTAGACGTTATTGTGTGAAAAAATGATTTTTCATTTATAGAATTTCAAGACTTCTCTTCCAATAAAAATATATATTATATTTTCTACCAAAAAAATCTTTTTGAATAAAATAGAATTGTGATAGAAACCAAATACCATAGGAAAATCAAGACAAGCCCTAATAAATTTAGATTAATGCTTTATTTGATATTAGACAGAAATTTTTCTACACCTAGGTTGAAATACTCCAACAATCGTGATTTTCAATTTCACGTTTTTCACAAAATTGGGAAGTAATACATTATATAAACTATTAAAAGTATATAGATACATTTAATTTGTTACAAATTTTCAATTAAAAGGTCATCCAAAGTCGTTCGAAATACATATCTTTAATTAGCTAGTCATACACATAAAATAAGTATGACAAATCATAATGTATAAACTATTTTCATGAAACAAATTAGGCTGTAGAAGAACAATAGTAGGATGAAACCTATAGGAGGGTTCTAAAAAAAGGATCTAGATCTCCATAAGAATATTAGACAAATAAATAGGGATTTAATAATTAAAAGTTTTAGAATATGTAATAATATAATACTTAGGGGTCGTTTGGTGTACTGAGATGTAAGGTATAATAATTTCAGGATTAATTAATATATTACCTTGCGTTTGGCAGGAGATAATAAGTAATCGTTGGATTATTTATCCCACCATTTATATCATAGTAAAGAGATCGATAAGTAATCTCATATATATAATGAAATAACTTATGCCGAAATAACTTGTTCTCAATAGACCCGTTAATATATTATTGTGGGTGATGACCCCATGAGTAAAGAGCAGAGGCAATGTGGAAAGGTGAAGTGGGAGCTAGGGGTGGAATCCTGCAAAGAGTTTGTTCTCACATGATCCACGAATCTACAACACCAACACCCTTTTTCAAACATGGCGACTATTCCCTAATTCTTTCTTGTTGACTTCTTTGCCCCTTTTCTTTCACCTAATTCACAAACGAGACTAGTAGCATTATCTACCATTTTGTAGGGGTTGCACGGTGTGAGATTTGATTTCATAGTCTTTTCATAAATTTTATTTAGTTTTATAAGATATTATATATAAAAATCAGAAAAAAAATAATTTTTTTGTCTAATAAATTTGTAAATGATCACGAAAGATTATTTCAACGCTCATAGATATTAAATCATGGTTTAAGAAATGTACAATGATCTCTTATTTTTTGGAGAGTATATGGGGGTTAGGGAAAGGAGAAATAGGGGAGAGAATTGCTAAAATTGAACTCTTACAAAAAAAAAATATATGAAAGTTTAGGTAACTAATCAATTGACACTATACCAAACAAGATTTTTAGTGATAATAATTAATGACAATAATTTAATTGTTGCTAAATACGTTCTTTTAATTTAGAGATAGTTACTAGTGATAATTACAGTTTAACATTTTTATAAATGCCACAAAAATTAATGTCGATAAAGACTTTAACACTCTTTGTTAATGTGCGTATTTATTATACCACTAAAAACTATTTTCATTGCAGCGTGAGCTACTAAGATTCCTTAATCGTAAATGGTTTGAAGGCCTAAAGACGTAGGATGTAAAGTAGTAGCTGTACACGCTCTATTATTGAGCTAATTACCGTTTAAAATTTTTTTAAGACATTAAACACTATGATGTGGTTGGTCTATTCTTTTCATGTGTATGCACAAAAAAGAAAAAGTTTCTTAACGCATCTCGTCTTAAAATGTGTGATTAGGCTAATCTTTATCAATTATTTGCTAATACTAGCTTAAAATAAGGAAAGTCATGTACCTTAAGTAGTAAGCAGAAAAATCTAAGCCCACCATCCACCCCACACCCTCACTATAAATACTTTACTTATAATAGCAAGATGTAAGGAATCTTAATAAAATATATATACAGTTGGTAAAGCTTTTACCAAATTTTAAAATATTATTTACATGATAGTTACAACAAATATAGTAATTGTGTGCATGTTATGCGCTTCCTAAATCTAGCTTTGTCTTGGTCAATTCATACTATACTATATATCTTCTTCATTTGTTTTTAATCCTTTATTTTGGAAAAAGACAATATCTCACTTCTAAATGTTGGTTATAATATGGCAAAGCAAGGGCATATTTGTCAAAAAATTCCAAATAAGAAAAAAGATGAAAAGCTAAATAAACAAACCAAGCCCCATATCCTCCATTACTAGTACTTTTTTTTCTCTCTCTTTTTCTATTTCCAAGACAAATGAAAGAAAGCTGACTTCTCTAATTTATTAGTATTACTTATTCTTCAAATTGAAACCAAGCTAGAAAATATACAATTCTCTCCTCCAAATTAACCTGTCAAAATCATGGCTCGTACTAATTGTCAAGTTCCTCAAGGGCTTAAACAAGACGAATTCATTGAGCTAGAGCCATTGATTCGAAACTACCATACCTTTGAGCATTTATCAAACACTTGCACTTCACTCATAACACAGCGAATCGAAGCACCCGCAAACGTCGTGTGGCCGTTCGTCCGGCGCTTCGACAATCCCCAGAAGTACAAGCATTTCATCAAGAGCTGCAAGATGACAGGTAAACTAATTAAATAAATTTAAGGTCTCTTATTAAAATTTGATCTGGACGATGAATTTGATTGGATAAAGCTAATTAAATAAATATAAGACCTCTTTTCAAAATTTGCTTGAATTTGTCTGTAAACTAAGGGTCTCTTATTAAAATTTCCAGCTTGATGATGAATTTGTGTGGGTAAACTAAGGCCTCTTATTAAAATTTAATCTGAAAATTGGATTTGTCTATGCAGGTGACGGTGGAGTGGGAAGCATTAGAGAAGTATCTGTTGTGTCTGGAATCCCTGCATCGACAAGCACAGAGCGACTAGAGATACTAGACGATGAGAAGCATATTCTGAGCTTTAGGGTGGTAGGTGGGGAGCATAGGCTGAATAATTATAAGTCCGTTACATCGGTGAATGAATTCGAGAAAAATGGGAAAGCTTACACTATAGTATTGGAGTCATATATTGTGGATATACCGCAAGGGAATACTGGCGAAGATACCAAAATGTTTACTGATACAGTCGTCAAATTGAACTTACAGAAGCTTGGCGTAGTCGCAATGGCGGCTATGTATGGTCATGAATGAGCATAGATGTCTGGTACTGGTGGTGGTGGTCGGTGATATTCTCTTAATTATATTTTTATTTTTTTTCAAAAATAATACAAAAAAAAAGAAGGGAAAATCTCTTTCAATTTGATAACTAGTAATTCTTAGTGGTTAGGATCGTTTTCTTGCAACTTGGAAATTAAGTTAGTTTGTAGTATATATTTTTTTTAGTTTCAATTTGGTGGTTGTTACATTATTACTCTTTCTTGTTTGCCAACTAGATGATGAGTACTATCAATTTCTTTTCTTTAATTTAATGAATTATTATTGGTTCGTTGGGTTCATGGTCCTTTAATATTTGTCAACTTGCAAGTTAATTAGTAATTAATTACTTCTATTTTAGCTTTAGATCTTGTATGGTTCCATATTGATATAATCGGCAGCATTTGAGTTGCATTTTTATATTTGGACAAGGTACTCATTTAGAGTGTGTTTGGTCTGAAGAAATGTTTTTCAATTTTCTCATGTTTAATTGGATTAAATATTTTTCAAATCAACTCATTTTCCTCAAATTTAAGGAAACTGACTTCCCTTCAAAACTTAAGAAAAACATTTTCCAAAACTCTCTTCCAACTTCAAATTAAAATTATTTTTTTGTTGAAAATCAATTTATTTTGTCCCTACCCTCAAATCAGCCCCAACCAACCCCCCCCCCCCCCAAAAAAAAAAAAAAAATAATTAAAAACAAATTTAATTTTTTTACCCCACCCCCACCCCCTCTCAAAAAAATATTAAAAATTATTTTTAAAAGATATTTCTAATCTCAATTTTTTATTTTTTTACCCCCACCCACTACCCTCGCCCCCCCCCCCCATCAGCCCCCCAACCCCCTTCAAAAAGAAAAAAAATTAAGTTTGTTTATAAAAAATACTTTCAATTTCAAATTTTTATTTTTTCATCTCGATCCTCCCTGGCCACCCCCTCCCCCCCTCCCCAAAAAAAAAATTGAGTTTGTTTTATTTAAAATATTTTCAACTTCCAAAATTTCATTTTTTCACCCTATGCTTGATCCCCCGCACCTCCTACCCAGCCCTCCCTACCCACCCCACCCCCTACCTGCCCCCCCAAAAAACAAATTTAAGTTTGTTTTTAAAAAATATTTTCAACTTCAAAAATTCATTTTTTTCACCCTACCCTTGACCCCCCCACCCACCTCCTACCCAGCTCCCTGGCCCACCTACCCCTACCAGCCCCCACCCCACCCCAAAAAAAATTTAAGTTTGTTTTTAAAAAATATTTTCAATTTCAAAAATTATTTAGACTCTAGTAAAAATAAAAGTTATTTCTCAAAAATATTTTTCATTCATAAATCAAACACTAAAAATCTTTTTTGGAAAATATTTTGTACTCACCAATCAAACATGAAAAAATAAGTCAAAAATCAACTTGTTTTCCAGGAAAACATTTTCTAGGAAAACATTTTCCTTCATACCAAACACACCCTTAGAGTTACTAGTTGTTGCACTTGTGTCAACTTAACTTGATGATGTAAAAGTTTCTTAGAACGTCAATGTATAAGTTTTAAATTTATTTTCGTACCACAAATTTGAATTTCGTAAAAATAAAAATACCTAGATAATTAATATGTACGTATCAATTGGTTCTTATTTCTCGAATACATCTTCACCCTATTAGCTTATAAAATATATATAAATGTTATTTAAATAGCATTGGAAAAAGAAAACATGAAAATCAACAACTAGTACATTACGTACATGAAAAGATAGTTAAATATAATTTGAAAAGTGAAATTTGTTTTCTAAATAAATCTAAGTAAAACGTTACAATAACGAAACCTCTCTCTTTGTAGACAAGCTAAGGTGGAATATTCTACAGAATATCCAATTTATTCCGAGTAAAATTTCATATTTTATTCATTAGACCATGTTATGATTTTAAATTTAGTGAAATATTGATTTAATTCTTTTTCTAGTGAACAAATAATTAATAGACAAAAGTGATCAACATGAGAACATTGAAACAATAATTGAATGTACGTATTGTTTGAGATGATCCAAATAAATTACACACAATTTGTTTGTAAGAGGTAAATTAGCAGAATAAATTAAACTAGATCGAATTGGATATGTGTCATGGCTACTAATCTGCCAATTAATTAATGGATAATTCTCTTAATTAACATCAACTTCTAATGACTTTTCTTCTTTTAGTGAAAATTGAAAAGATATTTATTTCTTATTATAAATGAAAGGAGTGGAACACTTTAAATTTATGTATTGCACAAAAAGAACATCACAGGAATTTGCTAGCGAAACTTATGATAAGTATAAGTATTAAGCTATAGATATATGTGTGGGTGTTACATGTTGTCCCCACTTTATATATATGAATGAAAAGGCAAAGGCCTTGTCAATATTTTGAGTTCTCCATATAAATATAAAGGAGAGAAAACAAGAAATTAACGACAGATAAAATTTTGTAGCTAAATAATAAAAATCTCATTCTAATTTCATTTTCCCATGGGTTAACGATGGATTACAAGAAAATTGAGCTGGCTAGGTGGTTTTAGTGACGAATTCGATCCATAGCTAATTCCATATTTTTTCCGTATGGAAATTGTTGAATTTATAGCAAAAGAGAACTTTATTGCAAACCATAAAAGGGAGTTGTTAGAAATGAGCTTTTTCTTGTGCATGTGTACTCTTGAAAATCCTTTTGTCAAACTCTAAAAATTTCAAAGACAACGATAGGTTATTTATAAGGATAGATATGGGTATGAATACCTTGAGAGACTTGTGACTTTACCTTAAGGAACTTGTGATATTAAGTTGTTTTTAACCACTTATTTCTTCACTTTTATTTGATGATCTCATATTATCTCAAGTTTGACGTTCACGTTTGATATAATATCATTATGAGTAGCCGTCTCAAGTATCTTGTCCACTCATAGCTAGATTATCATGAGATCTGTTGTGCAAAATGATTAATGATATGTGTATACATAATCTCACATCTAATATATTCATTATGTGGCCTTGCAACTAATAACCTTTTGACTTAATTTCTGGAAATCAACGTGTTTATTTTTTTAGAAAAAATTGCTCATCTTAGAGAAGGTATTTGACCAATTAGTTTTTTGGCAGGAATAATTTTTTTTGAGTATTAACAAAAACTATTTTTTTTCAAAAGCTAAAAGCACAAATTATTGTTCAAATATTGACAAAAGTCTTTTTCAACTTAATTAGCCAAACACTGATTTCTACTCCTTAAAATTGCATTTTTTGTCAAAATTATTACGTATATTCTACCCTAAGTATGTTGTTGTACTTGTGATAAACCATACTTTTCAAAATAAGTAGATGTTTGACAATTTGTCTTTTTTTTGTTTCCGAGCACCATATCGGCTAAACAAGCTTTAGTAACTCTTTGGTTTATTTTGTGCTAACCTTACACGAAAGAGCCTAACTAATTGTACTATTAAAGAATGAACCATTCCTTCAATATGCATATCAATAAGATCAATAATATCCATACAATGGTCTCTCTAATTTGAAGTTGGAAGATAGTTTTGGAAAATGCTTTCCTTAAGTTTTGAAGGGAAGTCATTTTCCTTAAATTTGAGGAAAATGAGTTGATTTAGAAAATATTTTCCAAAACATTTAACCCAACCAAACATGAAAAATTGGAAAACATTTTCCGGCTTCATACCAAACACACCCCAAGTGGAGAAGGATTTAATGGAAAAGAAAAGTGAGTGCCTAATCTATGCATTCTACTTTCCTACGTTTATTGTTCACTTCAATTCAAACGGTCAACTAATTAGGTCAAAGCCAAACTTTCAATTTTTCCAGGATGATGGCTTACTATCTTTTTTTCTAACAATAGTAATTGTTTTTTTTTTCCTTCTAAGAAGTGATTAAAATAGGAGACGATTCAAAGTACTCAAAAATCAAATCTTAAAGTAAACCTAGGATTAATGTGTAACTCCATATTGTTAGTAATTACTTCCTCTATCTTTACTTGTCCTAAAAATAGATATCCAACAATATTTATTCAATTTGGAAAATCAAGAGATAATTTATCTTTTTGTGTCTATTTTACCATTGATATTAAATACGGTTCAATATCTAATACATTTTTCAAAACATTAATAATATGATCCTTATTATTTATTGTTTCTTAAGGTGTAAATAATGGATAATTATGATTAGACAGAGGGAGTAATAGTTATGTCTACTACTATACATAAATTTAAGTTACTCTCTCATTTCATTTTACTTGGTCCGTACATTAAAAATTCATTTTACTTGTTCATTTAGCAGAGCAAGAGAGTTTATTACTTTTTTTTTTCTATATTATTCTTAATATTAAATTATTATTTAAAATAATATTAGTCAAATTTAGAGTTTTAAAACATCTAAATAAAGTTAATTTAGTAAAATACACTTCTGATTAATTAATAAAAAATAATACATCAACAAAGATCAAGTAATATGAAAAGTGGTAAAACTTTTCTATAGTTAAAGCTAAGAGTTGTGACTTGTCTTTGTAGGGAAAGGACGCTTTCCTTTTTATAATCTTCTGGCCAACTAAGGAATATCGATGGCGGATTGACTATTATTATAAGCACAAAAATCAAAGGTCAAAGCCTCCATGCATTTAATGAGGACAGCAAGAGTCAACTTATTGGAATCAATAATCATTCCACCTTCAAGTGGCTACTATAAAATGCTTACAATAATCTTGGCAGTATAATTCTCATCTAGTTGGACTATAATATAATATCGACCTTTCGAATATTGTAGCATCAAGGGTGGATTTGAGGGGAGCAGGTGGGGATTGTGTTTTTCTATGTCTATTTTGATAGATAGATTTAAGGGATCAAGGTTTATGCAATGATGGGTGTGCTCTAGCTAGGTTTATCACTTTTATTATTAAGTGATAATAGGTGGTATAAGTAGGATCCGTCTCTTTTAATTAAAGTTGGGATTGCAATTTGAATTCAACAATAAAAAAATATTTAG